GCTTGGCCCACATTCTTTGTTTTTGTTTTAGTATGTGCATGTCTACACTTGTGTGTTGCAGTAAGAATGCATGTGAGGGCACAGGACAACCTTGAATGTCACTCCTCATTCAAGGAGGACTGTTCCCTTTTTTGTTTTGGGTTTTGAATCCTTTCCTGGCCTGGCACTTGTGAAGTTACCTAGGCTGGCTGGCCATCCAGACCCAGAGATCTACCTTCCTCTACTTCCCCAGTGCTGGTATTACAGGCATACCACACCTGTTATTTTTGTTGTTTGTTTTTATGTGGGTTCTAAGGATCAAATTCAGGGTTCTTGTGCTTTAACAGCAAGTTTATGCAGCCCCACTTTGTTTTTGAAACATGGTCTCATGGTCCTCTAGGCTAGTCTAGAACTTGTTATTAAGCCGAGGCTGGTCTCAAATTCCCTGCCTTGGAAGTCCTGATTACAGGTGTGTGTCATCCCAGTCCAGAACACATTTGGATTTTATTTCTGAAGAGATAGTATTTTAGCATGAGAATAAGATCCATGAAAAAATATTTGGAAACTGGTGAACATGATTACCAGAGATTTCTAGTAGAATCAGAGGAAACATTTCACTAATCATTCTTTAATTCTATCTAAAATGTTTGTCACACACATGCACTGCTTTTTAAAAACTGGCTTAATGTCATAAAATTACTTTGTGTGAAGTCAGACTTAAAACATCTTGGATACTCTTTATAAAAATCATGTGAGGTTTAAATATGATTTTAAATTGAAAAAAGATGGAACTGGACATGTTGGCAACTATCTGTATAATACCAGTACTTGGTAGAGGCAGGAGAATCAGGAATTCAAAGTCAGGCTTGGCCAGATGACAAGTTCAAGGCCAGCCTGAGTTGCATGAGAACATGTCTGAAGAAGAAATTGAGAAAAATAATCAAACATACTAAAGCTATACACAAAAGTAAATGGTCCTTTTCCACCTCTGTTGTCTAGGCAAGAGCACTCACTGGCCATGTGTCCTGCTATGAATGAGAAGTCATTGGTAAAAAGCTACCTAGCAGACAATTAGGTTTGTTCCCAAAATTAAAATGTGGCTAATTAAAAACAATTTTAACTAATACTCTGGAATTTTTCCTAAAGAAATGTACATGGTCCCCAGCTTAGCATTCCTCCGCTCAACAGTTTCTCGGCTTTCCACTAACAGATCATTACACATTTAGTGGAAATCATACTTCATCTTTTGGTCATTTTCTAAGCTATGTGATACAATACTTTGCTGAGGTGTTGAGAAGTGGGTGCTACAGCATCCAGTCCATACTATGAGCAGAGCAGTGTACTTACTATATTGCCAAGATTGTTTGGATATAGACAGCCAACAAATGACACGAAATGTCAATATTCTATTATAACACAGGCTTTGTGTTAGATGATTTTTGCCAAAACTAGAGGCTTATTTAAATGTTCTAAGCATATTTAAAGTAGGTAAAGCAACGATGTTTGGTAGGTTAGATATAAATTCATTTTTTATTATTTTGTTTTTTTTGAGAGAGGGTCTCATGTAACCCAAGCTGCCCTCAGATTCACTATGTAGCTAAGGATCACCTTAAATTCCTGACTATCTTGTTCCAATTCCCAAAGTTATGGAATTATAGATATGCATCACCACTCCAAGTACCTGCACAGGTATATACACACATGCTTGTGAAGACTAGAGACAGATGTCAGTGACTTGCTCTATGGCTCTCTACCCTTTTTTGTTTTTGTGTGAGAGACAGGGTCTCTCACTGAACTTGGAGCTTGTCATTTTAGCTAGACTGGCTAGCCCCCCTGATGCTGCGGCTCTGGGGTCGACACTGCGCCAGTTTATGTGGGTGCCAGGATTCTGAAAGGGCCTCATCCTTGCACATAAAGCCTTTCCCTGACTGAGCCTTCTCCCCAGCCCTAATTCATTTTTAGCTCATGATACTTTTATCTTATAATGGGTTTATCAGTGTATCCTTATTGTGTATCGAGCAGCCTCAGTAATCAAAGTATGTAGCTGTGTCTTCTGACTTTCAATATTCCTCATCAATGCCTAAACAGTGTTAGGATAACATGATCACCAGTCTCTCCCCATCATCCACCGACTCCCTTCCTCAGACAGAGCAGAGGTAAGGCCGTGGGCTGGTACCTTCCAGAGAAGGTTTAGTATCTCTCAGGGATGGAGTAAGAGCAGTACTGCATCCTTCTGCTAGGGGCTGGATAGAGCATGAGGACCATGAAGACGACTAAGGCCGACTACTAAAATGCCTACTGATTCTGACTTTGGACATTCTTGGGACTTCAGAGAAGGACAGAGCCAAGCATGTAGTTGAAAGCTTGCTGCTGAACCGGGGCCAGAGAAGCCCGATTCCATCCCTGTCTCCAAGGCTAAGGAAGCTCTAGGGAGAACTGAGGCAGAATTGAGGATTTCTCTTTGAGGGCCCGTGCCTGGCAGCTTGCCAGCTTGCTCCTACTGCAGTACTTCTAGCAGTCTGTCTGTCAGGGAGCCAGAAGTGAAGGGGCTGTGAGTAGTCCAGGGGAGAGCAGAATGACATTAATTGATTAAACCTTCAAGATGACTTTAGAACCGAGGCTCAGGGTAAACATACCCACATGGGAGAGCGTAGCATGCATTTATGTATTTATTTATTTTAGGAGTTAGCTACCTTTCCTGTCATTGTAATACAAGTGTTGACTTGTCCCGAGGATAAATGAGTTTTAGGGCTGGGAGATGGCCTAGTGAATAAAACACTTGTTGCACAAGCCTGAGAAGGAAATTTAGGTCCCTGGAGCTCATATAAAAGCTGGACAAGTACTGTAGTCTCCTGTAACCCCAGCACAGCGGAAGGAGAGACAGGGAATCCCTGTGGCCAGCTGGGTTAGCTGGGATTGGTGAGCTCCGGTTTCATAGAAGGACCCTGCTTCAGTAAAAAAGTGGAGAGCCATCAAAGAAGATATCTGACATCAACCCTGGTCACATGCACCTGTGCCCATACACATTCAGACATGCTTGTGCATGAGACAGGATCTCATCAGACACCATGAATTTTTCGAATATGTGCAGCCAAGGCTTTGTCCGTTTATTTTATAACCCTGGAAGCCAAAGAATGTCTTTACTCTGCCATCACCCAGGATGTGCTTCTCAGTCTTTAATGACCTGTGAATGCTGTGGGACGCCACTTCTGAGGTAAATACAAATTCAGACAGCATGAGAGGGTCTTCATTTTTAACAATCGCCAAGGTGATGCGGATGCTGTACCCCAGCCCAGATAATGTGATGAGGATGCAGGCAGGATTTTGCCTCTTCTCGGTCACCGAATGGGTTTCCCATTATATCCTACCAAGTAGGAAGTGGGGGGAGAGAGAGAGGAATTTCCTTTTCATAGCCTCACCTTTTTACTTTGAAATTTTCAATCTGAATATTGAGTAATGGAGTACGCATTTAGCATAGTTTATCACTGATATTTTAGCGGTGTTATTCCAAGGATGTGACACAAGTTGCATAGATCACATTCCTCTTGCCTCGGCCTTTCCTGAGCTGGGGTTACAGGTGTGTGCCAAGATCACACCAAGATCAATCTTAGATATTTTTCTGCAGCGAAATTAATTAGAAATAATTTCAGTAATGACACACAAAGCGTAATTGTCTTGAAGGCTCAAAATGACCTGAATGGATCTAAACATGCTCTTCCGAGCTACTTGGATACAGCGGCATGTTTGTAATACTTCGTTCCACAAAGTTGGAAGTTTAACAATCTCCATTTTGTCCGAGGGATTTTCCAGTCCTCCTTGACTGTCACAAAAAGAAACTAGAAATACAGGCTGCTTTACATAAACTCTGCCAGCCATACACATCATGCTACACAAGCAAGAGAGTTAACTATTCGTGGCTGATTTATATCATCTTGTTTCACTACTCTTGGCTGTGTGTGTGTGTGTGTGTGTGTGTTACGGAGGACGGAACTCAGCCCCATACATAAGGTAGGTAGCTTTCTACCGTTTAGCTACAAATGCAATCCCAAAATTCTAAAATTTCAAGAACACCTTACTTTTTATTTTATTTTATTTATTTATTTATTTATTTTTTGGTTTTTCGAGACAGGGTTTCTCTGTGGTTTTGGAGCCTGTCCTGGAACTAGCTCTTGTAGACCAGGCTGGTCTCGAACTCACAGAGATCCGCCTGCCTCTGCCTCCCAAGTGCTGGGATTAAAGGCGTGCGCCACCACCGCCCGGCTACCTTACTTTTTAAAATGTTAAAAGAATATGACTTTGATGCTTCAAAGATAGCGCTGATTTGCAGTTAGAGACACGAAATTTGAATGTGTTACCTTGGCTGTTAATGACATCTTCTCGGGGTTATTTTAGCCCTCGCCTGGACAGATTCTGTTCTTTTGGGATTTTCTGTTTTTTGTTATGTGGATTATTGTAATTATCTGAAAGCAAAGGATAAACTGTTTGTCAACATGGGTTCCCTGGTAACAGGAACTGAATTATCTTTGGATTACACTGGATATCGAACCCCCACCCCACCCCCGTCCTGAAGGCTACTGTTACCTGCCCGTTGCGGTGACAGCCCCAAACTGCCCTTTCGAAGCTGTCAGCGCGGGGCGGTGCCATTGAGGAAAGGCTTCCACGATTGCAGGCGCCGGCGTCTACTAACCTCCAGGGAGAGAAGAACAGTCCAGCGGCGGGGCCGTGCGGTTCAGCGTCTGGGAGGCCTCTTGCCTCTTCTGACCTGCTTGATCACGGAAGGGCGCAGAAACCGCGACCCGCGTCCACGCACGCACGCAAGGGCGGCTCAGCACCTAGCAGTTGTCCTGCGCTTCCGCAGCCGGCGCGGGCAACTTTAGGAGCCGACGAGCCTGGGGCAGCAGGCCGAGCCCGCTCCCAAGATGGTGGCGTCGGCGTCAGGGAAGGCGGCGCCACATGGTGCAGCGGCCAATGATCTTCCGGGCTGCGCCGCCGGCGGAGCACGAGAGGCGGAAGTGCCGCGGGGCCGCCTTCTCCGTCCCGGCTGCGGCCCCTGCCGGTTACATAACCCGTCGCGTGGGGTAGGGGGGCCCGCAGTTCTACGTCCGGCTTCCCGTCTCCCCCAGGATGTGCTGAGCCCCGCGACGCCGTCCGCTGCTGCCGGCTCCCGTCCGAGGTGAGGCAGCCGGGGCCTCGGCGGGTGCAAGTCGGGGCGGTGGGGAGGTCGCAGGCGCGACCCCGAGGACACTGGCCAGCCGTGGGAGGCCGGGTTTCCCGGAGAGCGCGCCCTTCTACAGACCCCTGCGCGGACGCGCTTCTTAGCGCCCAGTTTGTTTCCGTGGCGGCGGCGAGGGGCGCGGAGGGGGGCGTCGGGAGTTGATCTTTCCGGGGTCCTCAGTCAGTGATCTCAGGAATTGGAAGTGGAAAGGCGGCATCCTCTGGGTTTGCTGGAGGTGAGGGGTCTGGTCGCCTCGCTTCTCCGTGCAAACTTGTTGCACCGGTGGTAATTGCCGGCTTGCTTGCACTTGCGAAAGCCAAGGACCCTGCTTGGGGTCCCTCTGCGTCTTTTCATTCCAGCAGTGCTTTTAGCATTCCGGCAAACGGAAGCCTTCCACTTCTGTTTACTAGCCAAACTGACCCTCCATAATCGACTCTGAATTGGAAAAACCACTTGCCAAGTAGAAGAGGAGATCTGTGGCCGGTGCTGTTTGTCTTCTGGGGAAATTGGGGCGGGGCTGTGGAGGGGGTACTCCAGGGCTTTCCTGCGTCCCCAGCAAATGCCTTCCTGCCCCACTGTCAAAGCCCAAAGCTTGGGGATTGCAGGCTGCAGTAAACATAAACTTTGGCTGCTATATTGATCTGCTAACTCTGCCAAGTCCTTGAGCCATGTGCTTTTGGGTCATTCTTGTCACCCTTTGGGCTTAGGAGAAAAGAATAACAGCCTACTACCAAGGTGGACTGACTGTGGTGTCTAGAGTGATAATCAAGAGAGAAAGTTGCCAGTTAGAGAGGTTTTCTTTTGTCAAAGTACTGAAAACACAAAATCCCTGAATTAGTGCTTGTCTGACCCAGCAGGCAAAGTCACATTGCACCAGAGATCATTTATGCAAATACTTGAGTCCACATAGCCATGTGACATGGAGGAAAGTTTTATAAGTCCTGTGACTGCGTTACCAGGTGAAACGTTAGGAGGAGGGGGTCCAGAACCAAACAAGCAAACAAGTACACACAGATGCGTACCGGCCCAGCAGTGACGTGCTCAGTTAGTATGGGTAGGGTTAAACACTAGAGGGATCTGAAGGGTCATCTTAACAAAGTGGTAGCATAAGTCTTCCCACCTCCTCCTTTTAGAGTAGTTTGAATAGAACAGCAACAAGAATAATGTGCAGGACATAAGCCCCTTGAGAGTGGGGGATGCACAGCTGTGGTTTGCTAGAATTCCAACTCACAGACCTAGACAGCTCCATGTCAGACTTCCCTGGCTGAGTTTCTATGAAAATTGTTAAAATTTGTCACAAAATCAGGGCTGGTCTGGTGTCAGCGCACCAGCATCAACATAAACTAGACAATTTTGTTTGTTATGACTGTGTGTCCTATCTTTAACCTCTTTTAGTTGTACCTTGAAGAGACTTGGTCACTATGTGTGGAGAGTGTCTTTAGATTTGGCCTGTCTAAGTTGCTTCTGACAGGAATGGAAGATGCTTTCTGGATGTCAGATCTGAGGAATTAAAGATCGTCCTGAACCAAGAGCAGGAAGCAGAGGTTCTAGATGCCCAGGGAGATGCTGGTGATGAGAGACTCTGGGGCGCTCAGTGTACATCTTCGTGCAGCACGGTGTGGCAGCCTAAGAACTCGCCCAGGTGGATAGAGAGTCGACAGGTGGAGACAGGATTCTTGAGAACTTGAGTTCAGGCCCAGTTCAAACACGGACTTTGATTCAGGAAATGATTTTAAGAAACTTTGGTAACTTCAGGGCAGATTTCCTTGCCTGCACATCATTCTTAGCCTGGCCTCTGATGAAGGCTGGCTGGCAGGACAGTTAAGGATCTGTCTGAAGCCCAGATACTCACACTGCTTACTGGCCCATGTGTTTAAATAGCAAACACAAATACACCAAGTTTATTCTCTTCTCTGAGCACAAAGAGGGTTGCTCAGAATTTATGGGAAGGAGGAATTCCTGTAGAAGGTGGTTTGGGATCTAGAGTAATGTAGATCAGTGCTTTAAGTAGCTCTAGAGTACCTCAGTTCAGAGGTTGGCAGGAGCATATCAGTAACCCTCAGGTGGGGTCCAAGCTAAGACTGAAGACGGTGACAGCAAATGAAGTCAGAGTCCACCTGGCCAGCAGAGAAAGCACCCTCAGAATGACAGTGACATTCAGCCAGATGTGGTAACGCATGCCTGGATCCCAGTATTCGAGGGGCAGAAGCTGGTGGATCTCTGAGTTCAAGGCCAGCCTGGTCTTCATAGTGAGTTCCGGGGCAGTGAAGGCTACATAAAGAGACCTTATCTAGAGGGTTGGAGAGTTGGGGGGTGATGAGACTCAATTTAAGTGTTACAACAGAGATTTTCAAATTATTTTCAAAGCTACCTGTTTTGTCCAAAAATAAACTCTTAATACTGCCCTTTATTATTTATTTATTTAGGTTTTTCAAGACAGAGTTTCTCTGTGTAACAGCTCTGGCTGCCCTGAAACTTGCTCTGCAGACCCAGGCTGGCCTCAGATTCATAGACTTCTGCCTGCCTCTGTCCCCAGAGTGCTGGAATTAAAGGCGTGCACCACCACCGTTCGGCCTTGATACTGCCTTTTAAAGCCAGCATCCTAGGAATAGCATGGTATTTTGGGCATTGATGTTAGAAATAAATGTCAGAACACAGATTCAAAGTTCCAAGAAAGAGGAGGAGGTGGTTATGAGTAGAGACTAAGAACAGATCGTGGGGAAAGTGCTGGTTGCCTTTGTTTCCATAGGAGATGAAGATATTTTGCTGCTTTGACAGACTTTTTAGGACATGGGCACAGATTTCTAATCCCAGCATTCGGGAGATTTGAAGCCAGCCTGAGATAATAATGAGTTTTCAAGTAAGCATGAGCGCTATAGCAAGACCCTGGCACAAGCAAATAGACTGGTTTGGACTGGTTTGGAACGCTCCCAGTTGGCTTTCTTTGTTTGTTTTTGTGGGGTGGTTATTGTTACCAAAAGAAAAAAAAATGGAAGGATTGGAGCAAAAAGGCTCACAGATAAGAATGCTTTTCTTTCAGAGGACTTGAGTTTGATCCTTGACCTACATGGGCTGCTCACCACCACCTAAACTCCAGCTCCAGGAGATTTGTTGCCCTCTTCTGTCCTCCATGGGCCCTGAGCACCCATAGAGTGGTATATACACAATAATAAATACATCTTTTTAAATAAATGAAATGAAGTTGGTGTGATGGCTCATGCCTGTGGCCCCAGCTCTGATGGATGAAGACTTTGATCCTGGGGGTTAGGGGTTGGAGATGTGGCTCAGTAGTCACTAGTGCTTGCTGTTCTTGCAGAGGACCCTTTAGATTCCGATTTCAGGCACTCATTGGCAACTCACACAGTGTTCTGTAACTCCAGTTCACAAACATACGTGCCGGCAAAACACCCACATACATAAAATCAAGAGTGATGCCAACCTGTGCTAACTGGCACAGACTGCTAACAATGCTGTGACTCAAACGGGCACTTCCTTATTGTTCCTGACATGGGGTTGATTAGGGCACAAAGGCCTGGAAATGGGTGGGTGATTTTTTTCCCTTCAGTACTAAAAGGTGTTATTTTCTGGGAAGGGTTAATACCATAGGGTTCCTGTCATTCCTGTGGCATTCAGAAGTGCCATGGCGAGCTGCTCATGTCTGTCTCTGAGAGACCCTGCTGGAGCCACAGTTGTAACGTGTTGATCAGTGCTTCCCCCATTAGCTGCCGCTTTCCTGCCCTGACTTTCAGTTACTTGCCTTATCCTCTGGCCTCTGAAATGTGTAAAAATGCACTGCCTAGCCACTGAACAGAGTCTGGCGCACATTGATGCCAGCAGCTGCTCGCAGGCAAGCCCTCTCCTTATGGAAAACCGTCTCCTCCACAGGACCCGCAGGAAGCTAGTCACAGTTGGGGGCGGAGGGTGAGGTGAGCACAGGGTTTTTAATTTCTGCCTTCTGTTGTACTTTTTTCTTAAAAAATATTTTATCTGTGTGTGCGGGGCGGGTGGGGGGGGAGAGGGCATGTGCAGTGCCGACAGAGGTCAAAAGAGGACATCAGATTCCCTGAGACGGACTTGGGTAAGGGTGGTTGTGAGTGAGTGTGAGGATGCTGGGAACTGAAGACCGGTCAGTGCTCCTAACCACTGAGCCAGCATTCCAGCATTTCAGCCCCTGAACTTGTTTTCTTTTTTTTTTTTTTCTTTTGCAGTAGAAAGGATTGAACCCAGGGCCTTGTACACACTAGACAAATTCTTCACCAGTGAGCTGCAACCCACACATTTTCACATCCCTTTACTTCTAAAAATAGGAGAGTTTTTTAAAAGTCTTTTATGAATATTGTTACCTTAAAACTTGTGAAAGCTTTTAATTTTGGATTTTGTATGACCCTCTGTTCGCTGCTTACACAGGAGCCCTTTAAGATGTTCTTGCAAGGCTGCTCTGCAGTCCACCTCCAGGTGCCTGCTCGTGGCTTTGATCTGTGGCCAGCACGGACATCCCCAGCATCAGCGCACGGGCTTTAGAAGGCAGCTCTTCATCCGCAGCGCTTAGGAGGTCTTAGTTGCACTCATAATTTGAAGACGCTGGAAAGTTTCCTTGTCATTTAACAACCCGTGAGAGTTTCGTTGGTTTAGCTGGGTTTTTTGTTTGTTTGTTTGTTTGTTTTCTGAGACAGGGTTTCTCAGTAGCTGTGGAGCCTGTCCTGGAACTCGCTCAGTAGGCCAGGTTGGCCTCGAACTCACAGAGATTCACCTGCCTCTGCCTCCCAAGTGCTGGGATTAAAGGTGTGCGCCACCATGCCTGGTCTACAGAGATTATTTTAATCTAAAACGTGTTCAGAATTTTCACTGTATCCAAAAGTCTTTATTTTTGTTAACAAAATAACCCAAGCTCACTGCAGAAGGCTCAGCTAATATGAAAGTGAGTAGCGGAGAGCATAAGCATCCGCCGTAATTGTTGA